GATTTACTCCCCGTCAAAAAAAAAAAAGGTGTGCGTGATCTCCTATTTTGTTCAACATTTATGGCGAGTACATAATGCGTCAAACGCTCGAAGATTGGGAAGGTAGCATCAAGATAAATGGGGCCAAAGTAACTAACCTCCAATACGCAAATGACACCACCCTTTTTCATCATCGGAAGTTGAAATGGCGGAGCTGATAAATCGGTTGGAAACAAATAGTCTAGAAATGGGTCTTGCTATAAATAAATCTAAGACTAAGCTCATGGTGATGGACCGTTTCGCGACTATTCACCGTACTAACCTCCTGCAGGTATATGAGACCGTGGACCAGTTTCATTACCTGGGCTCTTTGATAACCAGTGGGGGCAGTTGTGAACCTGAAATACGAAGACAAATTGGGATGGCAAAGACAGCAATAACTCAACTGAGCAAGATATGGAGAGACAGGAATATCAGAAACCGAACTAAAATACGCCTGATTCGCACTCTTGTCTTCTCCATCTCTCTTTGTGGTGCAGAGACATGCGCACTGATAGCCACCGACAGGCAAACTATTGACGTCTTTGAAAGTGGTGCTGGCGCAGAATGTTAAGGACACCGTGGACAGCCTGCCGCACCAATGTCTCTGTACTTGAGGAACTCCAGATAAAGAATGCACAGCGTCTGTCTTCAACTTGCATGCAGCGTGTGATACGCTATTTTGGTCACGTGTCACGTAGAGATGCTAATAACCTGGAACGTTTGATGGTGGCAGGGAAGGAAGGCCCAAAAGGTGGTCGGATCAGATCTCCGAGCAACTGGAGATACCTGTTAGCGCCGCACTACATCATGCGACTGAGCGCCACCGATGGAGGCAAATGGTTGGCAGGATGAAGTGAAGTCACAATCCTCAGCAGTGAGGAAGCGATTAAGAAGAAGAAGTAGTGTATTTGAGATAGATGCACAACTCTATGGTTCTTATTTTAATTACGAGGTCCAAAAGTTAGAATTAAATGTTAATTTAATATTATCGAGATATGGTGGTATATCATAGTTATTACCATAAGCGAAATTTATATAACGCCAAGACGTCACGTAATTCCTTTTTTGAAAAAAAGGCGTACGAGGATTGACCTATATTGGTAGGTCAATGCGTACGAGGAACGATATCTATGTACTAGCGTACTAAATGCTGCGTTCCATACATACGCGGTGTATCACTGATGTGCGATGAAGACGCTGCACATCATTGAGTTGGTTGTCAAACATTCACGTTGGAGGACGCAGATGCGGTCCTCTTTGACAATTAATTTACATAGATATGTTGCTCACATTTCGCTGTTTGACTAAATTGTGTGAACATATAATTAAAGTTTTAAATTTATCACATTGTTTCGGTAAGTAATGTCGTTTTTGCTTAGTTTGTGCATTATAATATTTGATAATCGCGAAATAGTATACAAAATTTCGCACTATCCATCTCGTATTGCAACCATGCAATGACGCGTGTTAAACCAAGAAAAAACATACATCATAGATTAATAAACAACAGAGTGTTCTGACTACACAATAACAGAGTATGTATAATAAGATTATATCAGTTATTGAGGTTACCATATGAATTTAAGAATTATAAAAAAAGACGGCTCAACGATATCTATGTACTTGATCTACGTGGTCTAAAGATCTTTGCCTTTCCGCAAGGAAAAGTACATAAAATAACATCATTCATTTCAACAATTCGACTATTTTTTTTTTTCTTTTACTTATGTTTCTCTTTATATAACGCGATAATTCCGGTATTTGTGAACCGATTTTCATGATTCTTTTTTTGTTGGAAAGGGGGTACTTTCATAATGGTCCCATTTCATTTTGAAGAAAACCATCCACCTCGAAGGATGGCTGTTCACGCATGAAGATTCATTTTTATAAATAGCGCCTAACTTTAATTTAGGAGCAATTACTTTAATGGTTGATTTTGCTATTTCTCCAATTCAAGGCGTTTTTCTCTCGATATACTTTGCGTAGTGAGAACCGATTTTTATTATCTCCAGTTGCAAGTCCTGTAGAGTGGCGAACTAGGGGATATTTCAATAAAACTTGGTAAATAGACGTAATTCCACGTACTTTTGAGGTCGGTTTTCTAGTACTCTGTACTGACATTATATTATCATAAAAAACCATAACCCAGTTGTACAATATTGAAATTATTTAATGATATTTCAGCTATGTATCGTTAACTGGGTTCCAATAAATCGAACACGTTAAATAATTTCAACTGTTTTTAAAAGAGAATTTTGTCCTCTAATTTTTAACCGACTACAAAAAAGGAGGAGGTTCTCAATTCGTCTCTATGTTTTTTTTGTATGTATGTTACGCGACAACTCCGCCATTTGTGAACCAATTTTGATGATTCTTATTTTTTTGTTAGAAAGAACGTACCTCAGATGTGATCCCATTTAAATTTCAAGAAAATATTCCACCTGTAAGGGTGGCAAACTAGGGGACGAATGACTTTTGAGGTCGTTAGTAGTATAATAATTATAAATAGTAAATATAAGGACCCTGGGTCTAAACAAACTGAAAGTATTGTGCAATTAAAACAAAAATTAATAGCGACTTGGTGTTTTACATTAATTCTCCGACTATAGATGAATATCATTGGTAAACCCTCGATATTATCTGCTGCCTATTTGTAAGTCAATGTGCCTAGCTAATAAATAAAGCTACTGGGAATATCCAATAGGGATAGACTGTTGTCTGTCCGCGGTACTACGGTACGGTATTGATCATCTTTGACAATTTGTTTGGAATATGTAGTTGCTGTTAGTGTGAGGCCAGACGAGTTAAGTGAGCCGGGACTGCTAATTAATAGACTGGGTTTCTTATAAATATGATTTTATTGTATGGGAACAAAAATCGGGACAGCAGAAGATGGCCTTTAATAATTAGCGCCTTGTATCGTCTATGGTTTCGGGTTTCCCCATACTATAATAATAATAACGCACACACCATTGACCTTGATAGGTCAATGACACACACTCAACATAGTCTTGCACTAGGGAAACCTTGTGTCGCGGGTGCCATGGGCACACATATAGACAACCACAAATTACACATAAACTCACGAGAGAACTAAATGTAGGCCATACAAATATTTTCTCCTCCATACAAATACACTCCCAGCCCGGGAATCGAACCTAGGTCCCATTAAAAAAAAAACACACGCTGTATAGTAATACACTCTATCTATCATCTATGGTACTGAATTTCGGCATTCGTTGCCGCTAGTGACATCTAGTGAGAGATTGTTGGAAAACTTGACCGCAGCTGATAACTTTACAGGTGGCACGACTGACGCAGATGTTGCTTCAAATGTATTAATACGACTTTCTGTGAAATACCTCCACTAGTTTTGTATGTAGCTGTGAGAAGATAAACACTGATGTTTCCTTCCACACGTATGTAAGTTTACAATCAGAATATGCATAATTTATTTTAAAATCAATTATTTTCATTTGAATGAATTTCGTGGAAACAAATACGCAAACGAGTGCATGTAGCATGTTCGTACTAGATTGCGGCTTTTACTTGGTGCGGCACACTAGCGTCCTTATTTAGTAGGCCATGAATACCGAGCGAGCGATACATTTGATAATACTGTCAATTTCGTGCTAAGGGTTGGTTGTATGATCTAAGTGCTAAGGTAGCTTCATGTTTTTTGTAAATTTTTACGATTAAAGATATTCACTTGATACCTAAAAGGGATGATAATTCTTAGGACCTTCCAAAAAGTTATAAAAATACTAAACAAAGATGGTTGTATTTTTTTTAGTTGTCTGGTTTTTTTATTTCAAAATACGTATTATTAGAAGACGTAATTATCTTGTTCTGGTATTATTTTACTATATTAATATTTCACGGCTTTTTATAATCAACGAATACTTGTAAAATGATTATTCTAAATACCATGCTGCGTCAGCGTCTTCGATTTAATAAAAAATGCCAAAAAGAGGAGATCATTATGTGCAATAATTAAGAATCGACTAATAGTTTAAAGAAATAATGTAAGAGCCCCCTTTACACACTCACACTATTTAACATGGACTGCTTTATACTCTTGTTGAACAACTATTATTGCGTCGTACTGTTAAATTCTGTTAAATTCATCGGTGATAAAAGGTGGGATGGCGATGTAGATTAGCATTGTCACATATTATGCTAGTAGTGGCTAAGCGAGTAAGACAACCTTGAGTAGAAAACCTCCTCAGGTAGCCAGTTGAATAAAACTTATATAGGTACCAACAGTCATGGACAGGCGTGTAGCTTACCATTTTAATTATCTATACTTGTACAGTCAAGAGCACGTCAATATTGACATTTTGGACCGTTCACATGCGGCATTGAGTTGAATTAAAATCAAATTAAGTGTCAAGCCTGACGTGCTCTGGACCTTTACAACAATACTCAGTTTTATTGAATGTCAGGATGTTTCACCATCATGATATTCAATTATTTTTTGTGATATTACTCTACTAGTTTATTTTAATTATTATTACAAAGATCGAACACTTAAAAACAAATCCGTCGATCCGACCGGATTCGAGCCGACGTCTTCTAGCAAACTGTGACAGACGCTATGCCACAGGACGAACCAGCGGACCTCACGAATTTCTTCTGTGTGCTTGTTGTCGGATATTTGTATCTGGTTTTTAACGACTTTTTAGCCGTAGCGCCATCTATGAGAAATCTATGAAAGTATTTCGTCACCCAATTAGGCTCCTTTACAGCTACCAGCCCTGGCTAGAGACATCGCTGTTCACTGTAATTATGTTTTTATTGAATGTCAGGATGTTTCACCACTATATTTAATTATTTTTTATGAAATGAATCCAGTACTTTGTTATAATTATTTATTAATATTATAAATAATAAGTGTTACATATTTGTATTCAAAGATCTAACACTTATATGAACACTGTCACAGTGAAACGCACGGCAGACGCGCGGCTGCCGCGCGTTTCAGTGTGGCAGCAGTTTCCCGCGGTCGCCTCTGTGTGGTCTGAGCATTGTAATCGGCAAGTTAACACGTTATTTAAGTAATGACTTGCACTGCCGTTTTATAACCGGCTGTTCACCACCTGGAAAGTATGATAAAGTTTAGTCTTACTTGAATCGGTGTCAAGCGTATTTCTAAAAATGGATCCTATGATGCAGGAGCTTAAAATAATAGAATACTTGTGAAACAAAAGTGATGAAGATACTACGTACGTATTAGGTTTTTTATTTCTTCTTATCTATTTCATGTCCCCGACCGTAGGGCGAATATTGATTGGTTTGTAAGTAAAAATGGCCAAGAGCGTGAGGGTTGGCGCTTTCTCCTAAGTAAGAGCTGGGGGTACAGTTTCCTCGAACATAATCCGACCAATCGGCGCATTGATAAGCCGGGAAAGCTTTAGGATTGTAAATTGATTCCGTATATAAATAGTGGGCCCGGCTATGACTGCATGCCTCTGAAATGCAAGAAACACTATAGACGGAGAAAAGGAAACTCCACGTCCACGTAGAAACAATGTATCTATAGGTAAGTAAGTACATATACGTGCGACTTCTGAAAAAAATAAAAATTCAAAAAATCGGACACCACTTCAACCGTACCTCATCTACACGCTTGCTTGTTTAGCAGGCGGATTGATAATGTTAGTGAACACGCTATCACTATCGTATGCAGGTTGATTAATTATGTAGTAAATAAGGTAGGTAGGTAATTACTGGCCACTCACCCATATAACCTTGTAAGCCTTGACAGCCTGGTTGCGGTGCAATTCCGTCATTAGGGTAGTAATCAGCGTGTCCAACACCATTGAAGACTCCGAGGAGACCGGCGCAGGTGTGAATAACATCAACAAAGTTCGCGTCTGTGGAGTCTAATTTTTCTGACGTCTCTGGAACCTCGAAAAAAGGACGTGCGGGATCTAAACCTAAAACCACATTACACATAACAACCTAACTACTGATTATTAGTAATGAACCAATTTCAAAGAGATTTTTTTATAGCAATTTTGACGCGCGCATAGTATGTACAATCTTAAATTTTAATTGTATGCATCAGTTACTATTGGATACTACTACCTGTAATTCGATTCACGGTAAGTTTGCTAGTCGATGCGGCTCTTCCCATAACATGAGCGCCTAAACTATGGCCAATAAGATGTACTTGATTCCCATTCACATTATAGCGATCACTCAGTGCGTCTAAAAACTGTCCTATGTAAGCCCCAACATCTTTAGTCTGATACGCTACGATTGGGTAAAGGGCTGACTCAGCAATCGGACTCCAGTCAACCGCTATTACAGTTACATCCTTAGTAGCTAAGTATGCATTTTTTATATTCATAACAGCGTTTTTATCCGCCGACGATTCCCATCCGTGAGTGACCATTTTTAACGGCACTTTTGACAAATGATCTGTTACATTTGAATCTTTTGCTGGTTTTGCCGATGAATCCAATATAATAGGTTCTTCTGGGTTAGATCTGAAAAATGACAGTTTTTGATAAGGTACTGTCAAGAGCACACGTGTCTTATTGCTTCGAGCGTATCAAGCTTACCAATGGCGCACTTTGTTCCGTTGTACTACGGGCGATGTTCAAAAGTATCACGTTTGATGTGTTCTTGACTGTAACAGCAATATTGCATGGATTTTTTACTAACCTCGTATAAAGTCTGTATTCTATATCATCGCTATTGAAAAACATTTTAAGCCGACGTGTATTCAGTTCACTGAATATTAAGGAAACTTTTCGTGGAATTTCGTCGCCGTCAGGGAAATAAATCCATGTGATTCCGTATCCCGCCATGTTCTCATTTATGTTGCTCGAATTTAACATTTGGCCTGCAATTTTGTAGTTAAGAAATACATTTACAACGCACCTCCACATAATGTCACCTATAACTCCAAAAAGGAGAGCCCGAAACTTTGCAATGTCATGAGATTAAATGAAAGATATGAAGTCGGACATTTGTTCGATTCGACTTGAGAGTAAAAACATTTTTCTCTTAAATCACAAATTCTAAAATTAATAATTATTATATACTTACCTTCTGTTAAAATACTGTAAACGTTAACTGATAGAAGACATAATAACCAATAGTCCATTTTTAAGATCTGTTGGAAATAAAATTATATTGCAAAATGTATCCGACCAAACACTTCTTAGTAGTGCCACCCATAGCCTTTAGAAGTTTAATGACTGCGTGTTCAACATTGAGTGTACGATAAAACATTCATGCAAAATACACTCAAGCAAAAAAACAGAAACAAATTTAAATGGGGAAAACTTTACAGGAACCCTAATCAGACATTGATACTGTAAATTGCTTTCGGAAACAGTAGATAAAATTGTAAACCAGTTTTAAATTAGGTAAATAACATTGTGATTCACCACACAATTAAAAGTGTGTAAGGTTTAAGGGCTATCCACACATATCCGGGCCGTGGACGGGGCGTGCTAGTTAGCTAGTAGTAGCAAACATACACAACGACATTTTTTTGGGCCCCTGATGGAGCACGGCCCGTCGACGTCCCGGCCACGGCCCGGATATGCGTGGATAGACCTTTAATAGCACACATAATTAATGTGAAAGAACATATAAGTGAGTGGAGGAGGATACTTCTGAAATAGTGGACCTAATAGTCGATATCAAACCAACTAATCAGGCAGCAGCTGTTGGACCGGATGGGTTTTTTCTTCACTCAACATAAAGAAAAACAATTCTAACTACTTAACATAAATAAAAGCAAAATATAAAAAATTGAATTCCTAGAGGTTCGAACTAGAATCTTTGATTTATACTTTGGACCCCTTGGGCAAAGCGGACGCTAGACTACGGCACACTTGAATGTGTGATAACTAAGACTCGAGCGGAAAAGAAATATTTTTGTCAAAATTAAGGATAATACGTGAAACATCATGTGTGAATTTTAGAAGTATTATGAATTCCTCCAATCGCGTATACAATAAAAGTGTAACTTTCGGTTGCCAATTTTGTGAAAATTGTAAAAAGAAACTATTGCATTACATAAAACCGTGACGCTTAGCCTTAACATAGTGACATTAAAAAAAACTGTAAGGCGTTTTCTTTACAAACTGTAATACAATTACCTAAATTAGAATTTGCACAGTACGAACTTTACAATAATTGCTTACTCGACGAAACAATTTTCTTTGTTATTCACTACTACTCTATTATGTCATTGAAATTAATGCGTATCGAAGTCATTAGATAAGCTATATTTTCACACAACATTGAACATATAGGATGGTTTCTTTATAATTACATTATTGCAAGTTACGTGTTGTTTCTTGACATTACTATAAATAGGTAACTTAAGTAACGGTAAATTTAGACTTATTTTTTCGATATAAGTACAGAGGGCCACATGTTGCTATTCACAAACTGTACAATATTCTCTATCTTACATTCTAAGGATGAAATGTTAAATTGTTTACAGTGATATTAACAAGAAAAAACACATTTTCATATTTATTGGTTTATTTTAAACACAAATTGAAAGACTGACATTAATCGGACCCAAAATGCATTTGGAAACCTACTATGTCTAGATTCCCAAACCATCATGAAATTAGTTCTGACAACATTAAACAAAACATAAAAATGTTACTAACAGCAATTCACTTTATAAAGTTACCTAGAATCTACTCAGTAATACTCAGATTCCGTGTAGCACACATGTTGAACATCTGACACTGGTTTTCATCACAGAGATTTCATTACCTACATATTGAAAGATTACTTAAAAACATAGAAATATTCTATTTCCTCTCTAGCAATGTAAATTGATGCATGATTTGCTGCCTATTATTAATAAAGGCCGAATGCTGCCTAATGCTTCTAAAATACACCTTATCTAAAAGGTTTGCGCCGTAAAACCTTAAACACTTGCATTCATCACCTTGCATTGTTTCATGCGGTCCTCTGTACAAACTGACACAACAAGGCATATTTCATACGCACAGACGGCAGTTTTACATCATAGTAACAGTCCACTGGATACATTCTAATGCATTAATTTATTACTCTGTATGTTATGTAGATAAATAGCTACATTGCGGAACTAAAAAAGCTATTTGTTAATTATAAATAAATGTGGTGCATTGTGATAAGTAAAACAAATTCACAATTTTTACAATCTAAAAGATACGGAAAGCTATTATTATCATCCTAATTTACACTTCCCAATGTTACTGTTAGTGTATGTGCATAATTCCCCAAATTATTAACCAAACTGCCCTCTTTGTCTCACATTGAATTACTGCTAAATGGTCTTATTGCTTAGACCATTACAATAAGACAGAACAAAATTATCAAAACAAGTGAAAGTTATTTAAGTACTTCATTTTATTTCATATGATTTTTCTATTTTAATTTCCAATAAAAAATATTACGAGGTAGCATATTAATTTACGTGTGACACTTTACCACCTGTACAGTTCAGTGTATGCACATTTCAAATTGTGCCTCTAAAAGTACGGCAAGCTAATGTTAGCCAGAGTTTCTAACCTCATAGTGGGATCAAAACGTCCAGGCGAAGAGAATCGCGAGACTGTACTCCACGAGGACTGTTAACATATTAATAGACCTGTAGCACGAGGTAATCAATCAGCTTTCCCTAGTGGCAGTGGACTGTTACCAAGTAGTAGACAGTGCAGTTAGTCCTGCATCTCTTCAGGCAATTCGTGGGGATTGAGGATACCCGGCACTGAAAGCTGCACTCGCCGCTTCTCCTCCTGTGCCTGACGTAGCGCAAACAACCGTTCCTCTAGATACAGGTCACTGTCATCCTCGCCAGTGTACTCCTGGAAATTATAAAGAAACTTTGGAGTCCTACAAAGTATAAAAACATATTTTAAGTATTAAGAAGTATTTGGTCCAATAAATGACTCGACTATAAAGTAATGATCATACTCAGGTCGGGTAAAGTAACAACCTGTTCAGGCGGTGGTGTATCATAAGCAGTGTGGGCTTCTAGTGTGAGTGTGGTATTTTCCTTGTTGAAACAATGGAATTGTCGTAATAGAAACATTATTATATGCTGAATTAGGCTCAATTTACATATTATATTTTTCAAATATTGCGGCGGAACGGAATGGAAGCAAATTTTTTTTTTCAACAAAAATTCGCTTTCATTCCGTTCCGCCGCAATGTAAATTGAGCCTTATGAAAATGAATTCCTTTTTTTAGAAAATGTAACTTTGGTAAGTAACAAAACTGATATGATTGAAAAACTTAAGGCTGATTCATGTTCCCTATGTTTGACCAAGCCGAGTCCGTGCCCCATGTACACGGGACTTTCATTTCTATCATTTTCATTTCAATCACGCCTTTATTTAAAAATAACAAACTTACTCTTATTTGAACTAAGAAATCTCTTAGATGATCTTTGAATGCTGGAATATCTTGGTCCAAATTGAATAATCCTTGAACAGTTATTTTGATTTGATTGTCTGTTAAATGAGGGAATGCTGTTTTAAGAAGATTCGCCACATATTCCTGAAAGCAATAAACATAAAAGTCGTAAAATAAAAATGTTAAAACAAATGACAACAACATTTCTGTATATTATTAATAGATATTAATTACCTGTATGTAGAGAACATTGTCAGGTGTAGGTCCAAGAGGCACAGTTACTCTGCCAGCTTCCACCAAAGAGAATATATATGCTAGTATGGTAGCATGCATCGTCAAGCCGGCGCCGTGTGACGTGTCAGTTACTACGCTAAATACGTGTTCCAGAATATCACACAAGTAAGTTTGGTAGAAGCTTTGAGCAGCCTGTGGGTGCTGTTCTACATTTTGCAGCAGTCGGTACAATATCTGTAGACCAGTATCAGCCACATTTCTCATAGTATGCTTAAATGCCCAAATTATGGAATCCAGCACCAACTTGAATTGGGCTGGTGGTATACTTAGGAATGCCTTAAAACAGTGTGTGTTCACTGCCTGCAACAACAGGAAAAACTCTGTCCTGTGTTCTGGATACTCTTCAAAGTCCTTATTGATCATTTCCAAAGTGCACTCAAATACTGCGTCGAATATTTTTGGCACTTCAGATGTTATATGCCCACCTAGCTTGTACACAATTGCAGCCATACAAGATAGTACTTCTGGCTCTCGCGCATCTGGCACTGCTGTCCTTTGGTAATCCAAGAGAACAGCATCTAATAGTGGAGGAATAAAGTTCTCCAGCACCATGCTGTTATCGGTAGAGCGAGAAACCCAACTGGCAATCAATTTCAGAGTTTCCTTCTTAATTATCCTCATGTTCTTTATTAGGGGTTGTTTTGTGACAACCACACCATTCAGTGCAATTGCTTGACTGATGTTTTCAGACATAACTTTGTAGACATTTAGCATGTCTAGGTATATTCGCCCTAATTGAACAACATAAGGATGACCTAGGGCACGGCAAGCACGCACGTTGGTTTTAAGAATGCTTACAAGCTGTTTCACAGCTTCAGGATCTTTAAGAATGTCCACATTGTGCGATGCTTGGGAAATGATGTCATCCCACACCTGGTTAGGCAAATGCATATACTTTTCAATGAGTTGCTCTTGTGCAACTTGATCAACTTGTGCACTGATCATGTATCCTACAGCTTCATAGAAAGTGTGCACTTGTTGTGTTTGTAAATCACAAATAATAGAACTTATTGTGCTCAGAATTTCTTCAATGAAGGGGCATGCTTCTCCTACTTGCGTTGTAACAAAATGACGTCGACATTTAAGAGCTATTTTAATAAATGTGTCACAAGCCATATCTTGGACACCATCATGTGTTTCATGCATAAATTCAAAAAGTTTATTGACAACAGTTTTCAAAAACTTCCAATGCGCTCTGAGAAATCTTGGATACTGACCCACAACATACATGATGTTACTGGCTATAATAGCTTTGTTATCTTTACCCTTTTTCTGTTCACACAGTCCTAACAATTCTTTGATGACAACAACCAAAAAACGTTTTTCATCTTCTTCCATCATTGCTCCAGAAATGGAACCAATGGCCCAACACAGAGTGTTCAAATTCTTCCAAGACCACTCTGTGCCGTTTACTTGATTCTGAAGTTTTTCTGTCATGATACGCTCAGTATCTTGATAGTCCACATGTGTCAGGTAGACCAGTGTTTCTCTCATATTCTTATACAAATTGATTGAATCAGTATCTTTCATGAATTCTCTTACGACTTCACCATTCTCATTTTCGACCACCAACACTTCCTCTGGCTTAGCCATTCTGGAGATCATGATATAACGTACACTGCTCAGTACATCTGCATACAATGCTTTCCTTCCTGCAACTTTGCCTAGACTGTATAAGTTGCCCGAGTGTGAACAAGGTGCAATTTTATACAAATCTGCAGCTAATGCATTCCAAAACTCAAGACAGATCTTGAATATCTCAACATCTTCCACTTCAGATATCAACACTAGGTATCTCAGAGCATTCATTAAAGTGTTGGTGAGGCCTCTTCTTTCAATCAACTCACCATGCTCTTTCAGGTAAGTGCACAGAAATAATGCAAGGTTTTGGATGAACACTTGTTCTTGATCACGGCCAACGGCATAAGCTTCCCGAATGTTCGTGGTGAGAGGAAGCATAGCCTCTAGTTGCTCCATTGTTTGGACGAGCAGAGCCACAAATTGTTCTTCATAGTTACTCACAGTCACTCCAGCAATCTCAGTTAAACAACTCAAAGTAACATTACGAAACATGGGAACATTTAAGAATTTAAAAATCAATGTGCTTATCAACTTCATTTCAAAAATGTATCCAAGAGGTATCCAGTTCAGAAATCTTAAAAGAGTGTGAAGGGTGGCATCTACCAATGGGGCATTTTGAGAATTTTCAAGGACAAACTGACAAAGTTGGAAAATTTGGCTGAATTCAGAACACATTGTATCTTTCAGATGTTTAGCCTTAGTCTGTGTTAGCTGTCCAGTACTGAACACAAACACTTCTTCACTGAGTAGTTTCAAAATTACCATGTTGTTTTGACAGAGACTCTCATTCGTTTTAGAAGCACCCACAATGTCACTAATGAAACTTTCCCAGTTATGTGGCCATTCTCTTTTTAATACCTGGATTAAGATCATGTTGAGTTTCTTCAAGTAAACTTTATTATTTTCCATGGTCGCAGGATCCGAGGAGTTTTTTATGATTAGTCCAACAATGTATTTCTTTATCCCTTCACATTGGTTTCTTGGTAAAATTTTCCATCTTGTTTGTATCACTTGTTCCAAAATTTGTAAAGCGTAATATTTCGTTTCTTGATTTTGTGAATACTCAAGAATGGTATCAACACGAGTCCAGGCATCCGGGTGTTCCTTGAGCGCTGTCAGAATGTCTTGCGCGACGCGCTGTTGCTCTCCTACTGTTGAATACAGACACCCGACTATGTTGTCCAGTAAATTGATGTCCAGTTTTTGATTAAAATCCAGAAGTTTGGAAGCTTGTTGCTCCAAGGTTGCCATCCTGATTTTGATACAAATTTATATAAATTTGTTCCCTATTATAAAATCAAACTTGTGTTCGTTTATTCACATTCATTCCTCACCATATGCAACACTGAAAAAGAGAAATTTATGAGTTAGCAGTTGACCAGCTTATAACCTCTTTTAAGTACGCAGATAACGCCGAGTGAATAATACAGTGACATCGTCAGCTATAAACAAACTGTATTGTATTATAGTGTTAAAACAAATGTAACTTACATTAGGATACAAGATTACAGTAGTTTTTTGGTGGGAAAAGAAAATATAGAGCACACACCCCGTATGATTGTTAGCGCCGTTTACGGCGGCTTTGTTGTCAAAATTTACTAATAAAAGTAATTTCGCGTCGCGGCACATATAGGTGTGACAATTTATATTAAAACTATTGTTAATGAACGTACCCGAGAATATAATTTGCGGCGCAATCAGTCTAACGCACTTCCATACACACTATCCGTTGTTTTCGTCGTTTTCTTTTCGAAGCTTGTAAAAGCTTCCATACATGTACGTGTCTATGGTCACGGCGCGTTTGTCAATTCAGGAAAATGCAGGGTGCATGAAAAGGACATAATATATTTTGTACAAGATTGACAGAATCGACCTACACATTACGTCACTGAACTTTTTACATCATTTCAAATATTCATTCGGGATGGAAAAGACTACTTTACGTCGCATTTTGAGTTTCTTATGTTCTTAGTTCTTTATTTTTTGAACCGGCTGCTTCACAAATAATGCTCAATAACTGAATAAAAATTACGTCACTGAAAGACATCAAGTAAAGCTAAAATTCGTTAAATAGAGGTTTTTCATCTGAATGAACAATCTACCAATATTCATTAAATCAATAAAGATTTAAAATAAGTTTTTTTTTAAATCAATTATATCTATGTTGTACTTCAAATATTTGCCTTAAATACATTAACTGGCAAATATAAACCTTGGTTTATGTTGATGGTTTTACAAAATATTTAGTTCTTTTTTATATTTCTAAATAGTGTATTGATGAAACTGAAACATACGAAAAAAGACTCTATTTTCATAGACAAGCAAGATACCTTTTTCGGATTTAGTGCGGTAATACACGTTCGATTTCGTGTCTGATGGTCAGATTCGACTATCTGATCGGATTCACTCAATACACGTCCGATTCTTACGTCAGACTTTTACAGTGTCTAGCTAACTGCAGTGTTGCCAATTTATGGGGAATTCCCCAAATACCGGGAATTTCAACTCAACAACTCGTTTGTGGATTTTGTTTGGATTACACTATGTGGGGAAAATGCCCTCGCATTCTAGAATTTTATCATATTTTTGTTACATTGATGATCACTGACAAAAACACTATTTATTTGTTTGTTTATGAACCATATTAATTTTTTTTTCAACATCGCACATGCACTGCTTATATAGCAACATTTATATAGAATTATTTAATTAGCAAACCGCTTATATGTATAATATTATCCAGTAGGATTTGAATCACTTTGTCTTGAATTATAAAATTACTACTATTATCAGTCACCGACAAGAGCCTGGACAAAAGCAACATTTAAATAGGATGATGATGATTGGTCGGAGCGTGTTGAGCGTGCGAACTTTCCTCGTTTGGACCGGTCCCCGGCGTGAAAAAAGAATACAGCTTTTGCCGCACAAAGCCGAGCAATACGTATTTTAAAGGACTATCTACACACATCAGAGCCGTGCCCGGGACGTGGACGGGGCGTGCTAGTTTGTATGAACTGCGGGCCCGTCTCACGCCGGCCCGGACACGGACATGTGTGAATGAGTTCGTACAAAATAAACGCAACGGTATTTTTTGAGCCTTTGACGGAGCACGGCCCTTCCACGTTCTGGGCGCGGCCCGTTTACGTCCCGGACACTGCCCGGATATGTATGGATAGACCTTAATACCACAACTTGCCCTCACTCGTCAAGCTTAAATATTAAGATTTAACTTAATTCTACTTGTTGAGTTTATTTCTAATTATAGTGTAACGTATATGTAATAGATGGGCACATTTTGACTTTGTTAATTATTTGATATATTTTTAACCGTAACAATAATAATATAATAAATACTGAGAATAAATAAAGATTATTACATTCGGGAAATATGACCTTTGCTGTCACCAAAATAACCTTGATTATTGAGGATTTTGAATAATTTGCATTGGCAACGCTGCAAATCGACTAAAAGAATCGGACGTATATTTCGTCTGGCAACGAAGCAGTAGACGCCTGTGCAAAGGATGCGACAAGAATTGGCGTATGCAAATATTATAAGTGCTTTCCCAGAGATCTGCTCGCCATGACCAAACCCCAAATGCTAGCCTCTTGGTCGGACCTATGGCAGGAATCACGACAAACTGTTGGTAGACACTATGGTAACCTCCAACCAAATCTACCCACTAAACCCTGGTTTTATAAACGTCGCGATTTGCCTAAAAACATCACTTCCACTATTATACGTTTGCGCTTAGGCCATGTTTGCATCCCTGTATTTTTGCGTAAAATCAGAGTCCGAGATCACTCTCTGTGCGAGTGCGGCCTAGAAGACGGTACCTTGGAACACATTTTTTTCAATTGCCCTAATATTGCTGTTCCACTTTATAACTTACTTCCTCCAAAATTCCCCCGCCCCATTAACATAAATAACCTCTTAACTTTAGTGTTCTCCCGCCATATTGTTACTCTATGTAAATTTATCCACTTAAATAACATATAATTATAAATACATGTTTGTGTTGTCTTTTCTTTTAGATTCTCAACTGAGTACCCCAGTGGACCAACTCATCAACGCCGGTTAATGTCCTATTAGAGCTCAGCGTATTTTTTTTTGTTTTTTTTTTCTTTCAACCGTGACATTGGCAAAATCATTATTTCTCATAATGATGGAGCCATAAAAATTAAAAGTGAAGTATATTTCGTCGCTCCACAAAAGTACAGAGAGCTTTAGACAATCGGATCGGTAATAAAATCGGACGCTATTTCCGACTCGGACGCCACGTCACGTCACGTCCGATCCGATAATCGGATCGGACGTATATTGAGTGTTCATATAATTATATGGTACGAGCGCAATCCGGTAGTCGGATCAGGGGCTACTCTCGATCTCCGTCCGAAACAATTACTGTCAAATAAGTAATATTCGACAAAATTAAAAGACAAGTATCGAGTATGAACCTTCATTTGTATCACGCGTCTTTTCATTTGGTCAAGTATTGCTTATTTGGCAGCAATTGTTTCGGACGGATGTCGGACGGAGATCGAAAGTAGACCCCGCTATCGGATCCGACTATCGGATGGAAAAACGGACGTGTATTGTCGCGCTTATTCGCACTTGGCGTATGACCCTATTTCTATCTTTTTTTTTCCTGCGGTTCTGCGTCCTGCGCTGCGTCTGTCATTTATTTCTCTGATTCTCCCCTTTCAGTTGAGTCAGTTCGATTTCTGACCAAGTACTGAAAAAAATCTGTAGAAAATTGTAGAAGTTTCGATTTATTTGTGTCTTGAGCATGAATCTTAGCCGAAACCAATGGTAAATCAGTAAGGATTCAATATCAAGCAATAAGAAAGCAATACTCCCCGCTTTAAAATGGCTAATGTGAACGAAGATCAACCTGCTGGTGAATCGGCAGAAGATAGGTTGGTTCCAAGTGATAATAACGCTGTCGTCGATGAAAATGGTGTTCCGCAAGAAGTCGATGTAAGTGCCCATTATACCGTGTATTGTAATTTCAACTTGTACTCAGAAATTTTGCATTTGTTTAAATTTTAAACCTTGACCTATAATAGGTACTTATAGTTGTGTTGATATTCGTTTCAGATCAATGCTCAAATCGATGAACAACGTAGGAGAATGCAACCTACCAAGCTGGAATCGTTTTTTGCCATTACAAAGTCACTGATTATAAGAGCTTTGGTTGTCTATTTCATTACGTCGATGTTCCGACAACCAGCTGCGCCAAAACCCGAGTTGAATAATGCTTCTGGTGCTCCTCGGGTTCCCGCCGTAAACATGTTTAGTAATGGCACAGTATTAGATCTTTACTCTTATTTATCAGAGAACATCATGTTTGGTGATTTTGAGGATGAAAAACTAATATGGAAGAAGACTGGTATTATTTACGGTGACTGGTATGGTGGGGAAAATGGCGATGGCACATTCACATACAGTACAAGCTTTGAGCCATCACAGGCATTGAAGAACAATGGTTCAATTTATCTTCATGTATTTGTGGTACCAACTGGGAAATCGCCAAATCCTAAGGACAAAGACATTTATGCCGGAAACTACGTGACTTATGGAAAGAAAATGATAAACAAGTACAAGAAACTACGCTATCTGAAAACTCACAACTTATTGACAGGGCAAACAGAAAAGTCTGCTGAAGAAATTAAAAAAGCTGAGACTATGAAGGAAGAAATTTTGTCACATTGGCATCCAAATTTGACTCTTAACTTGGTGACTGACCAAACTAACTGGATGCAGGGGAGTGTGCCACCACCACTTGACGAATTTATATTTTTCTTCCCAGACGGTAAACAATATAAGCCAGCCATATTTATGAATGATTATTGGAACATGATGAGAGATTATGTACCAATAAATCAGACTACAACTAGCCTGCAGTTACAATTAACATATCAACCATTAAGCTTGTTAAAATGGCAGTTGTATACTGCTCAAGCAATGAGAGACAAATTGAGCATGTTTTCAGCTTTAGGGGCTGAGGAACAGGATGAGGAACAAGATACAGTCAAAGAGTTATTAATGGATACCTCTCCATATCTCTTGGGTCTTACTATTGCAGTATCTCTCCTACATTCAATATTTGAGCTCCTAGCATTTAAAAATGACATTCAGTTCTGGAATAACAGGCAGTCACTGGAAGGTCTCTCTGTCAGATCAGTGTTCTTTAATGTTTTCCAATCTACAGTTGTTTTGCTTTATGTACTGGATAATGAGACCAATGTTATGGTCAGAATTTCATGTTTCATTGGGCTAGTGATAGAGATTTGGAAAATTAACAAAGTGATGGATGTTAAGGTTAACAGGGAGGATCGCATTTTTGGTATCCCAAAACTGACATTTACAGACAAAGGATCTTATGTAGAGTCTAGTACTAGAGAATATGACGTGCTTGCATTCCGCTACCTTAGCTGGGCTTGCTTCCCGCTTTTAGTTGGATATGGAATTTACTCATTGTTGTACCAAGAGCACAAAGGATGGTATTCATTTGTTTTGAACATGATGTATGGTTATCTACTGACTTTTGGTTTTATCATGATGACACCTCAACTGTTCATTAACTACAAATTAAAGTCTGTTGCTCATCTGCCATGGAGAATGATGACATATAAATTTTTGAACACATTTATTGATGATATTTTTGCATTTGTAATTAAAATGCCAACCATGTATCGCCTAGGATGCTTCAGAGATGGTAAGTATCCACACTGATATCTAAATTAGAGGTAGTCTGAATAGAATTCATGATTCTAAAAAAGGTTTGATCATTTCAGACATTGTGTTCTTCATATTCCTGTACCAACGCTGGATCTACAAGGTAGACCACAAGCGGGTTAATGAGTTTGGTTTCTCAGGAGAGATGGAGCAGCAACAGAAACTGGCTAAGAATGGTGCTCCAGCAATCACAGAAGGTGGAGAAGAACCAGCCGCTGATAAGAAAAATGACTAAATGTCTAATAATATGTATTGTCACTTCATAGTATAATTTTTTTGTGATGTGCATGGTATGTATTTAAATAGTTGTTCAGTTTGCATAGTTAGAGCAAATAAAAATTATACAAATAGTTATGCTGTTTTTGTCATTCTTTAATATACAACGTTATTGTACAAGCTGAGTAATTGTGTGTACTTATAACTTATAGGCTTATAAGTAGAATTTGAGCCAAATATGTGTATGGATTATATACAATGGATGACTTCAGGAAGACTTTGTATTCCAACAGTATTTTTTTGTTAGTTTTTTTTAGATCAAATTTTTGTGAGCAAAGCTTTTGTGATATTTTAACTTGAGTTTGTTTTAAGTAAAGTAAAATAATAATACAAAGTTGTCTATTTTTTTCTAAATATGCCAGTGTTCTAAATAATTTTTAAATCAATCGATATTATGTTATTAGTAATTTTCTATATATTTGCGTAAATAACTAAATTTAATGTTTTACAAATTTCTATCTTTAAATATTTTGAATTGTCAATATTCTTTTCAATATTTTCTCTCATTCTAAGTGTATTTTTATATTATTGTTAGGCTATACTTATGTAGTACATATTCTTATCACTTTGTTATTAACTCAGCACAATGGATAGTTTGAAATTGTATATAAGTACTAATATTGAGTGATGCATTTAAAAAGAAGAAAATTTTACTGTACAAAAGTTATTGAATGGATTTGAAATTAAAAATTTAAACACATTTTAAATCCGTGTTATGCACAGGCCACACCGCGAACGTTAGCTTAGCTCACGTAGCCGGGGTCTTTTCACACTTCAATTCACACCGTGAACAAAGCTAATTAAACTAACTCCACGATCCCGCTAGCTATGTAAAATATGTCGCCATTGTACCCCCCTTCATCCCGGCACGTATCCATAGTCACTACTTACTACGTATTTTTTTAGCTTGGTTTGCATGCAACTACGTGAGCTAAGCTAAACTAATTTTAGTTGGCATAGTTGGTTACATCCAACTACGTCCGCTAAGTTAGCTAGCTTCGTTCGCGGTGTAACCTGCGCTTTACGAGAAATCCATCCAATAATTTTGACCAAAGATATACGAAAATACAATATTACCCGTTGGAATATTTAAATTGTGTTTATTACCAAATACTGTATCAAATATATTATTAACTCTGGTGTCTATGAATAAATATCTTGTTAAAATATATTATGCATGTATCTTTTTTTACATATTTTATTAAAGGTTTAGTTTTTAGGTAAATAAAAAACGAATAAATTAGGTACACATAGATTTTGAACTTTTCTTGAATCGTAAGTACAGATAAATCTAAAATTAGTTTAGAAGACAAAAAAACGTGCTTCATAATGGCACTTTCTAATAAAATACTTTACAAATCTTTCTAACAATAATAAATGAACACTAAAAGATATGCAAATGTTTAGAACTTAAACAGTAACGTTACGTTGAATTTATACAAATCAAGAAGTGCTTTCTTTTGATAGATTTTAAGACTTGTGGTAAGTTCAATAAATGTAAAGAATTAGGAAAAATAAAAATAATAATACCGTAGTAAGAAACCTGTAATGAGTGATAATCATTTGCTTCCTTATTTAAAAAGCCTATGTTATCAAATACACAATCAAATTGATGCCGATAAGCAATAAGTTGTCAACCAACATGACTATAGTTTTGCGAAAATGGCATCTAAATATTTTTTCCTTTTTGTTTTTGATAGTTTTAGTAGTAGAAAAAGTTTTTATTTTACAAGTTAATTTTAGAATAGACTATCAAAACATGGAAAAAATCTTTAGGTGCCATTTTTGCAAAACTGGTCATGTGGGTTGACACGTTGCCTATCAGCATCCTACAAATTAATCTTGCTGTCGACAATCAGTGTTTACCTTTCACTATCACACATGATGAGTGTATTTATATAATTTACCTTAGAGCATATATGACGGGAGGCGCTATTGGCGTTATTTCTCGAATAAAACTTTCTGCCACTCTTTGAGGGGCGGGAGGAAGTACTACAAGCAAACAGATGCACTCAAATGCAAAATTGAATTGTGTCACTATGGTCTCATACAAATAAAAGTCTACAACACTAGCTTATTTTTACCAATACACAGATAAAACACACATTCATATCATGTCCGTACACAGAAAAGGCCTATAAAAATAAATCGATTTTCATGAATGTACTAGACACGGAAAGTTATCGACGTGACGGTGTCGATGTATTACGTACTGGTTGGTTAATCATGTATATGAAAAATGTAATTCCACCCTTGGCTAGACTAGACGTAGTGAATTTCTTTTTCCAATTGTGTGTGTAGTGTAACAGTGGTATTGTTTTACTTGTATATGCCAGAGGAGATTGCCCATTGACTTACCAATAAATGGATGACAATAAATACAATCCAAAGTCTAATCCAAAAACCGCGAAAAAATGTCCGGAGTTCTTTTTTCAGTTTATGGCTTTTCGCGGTCAACGTTGGAGCCAATGACATGATTTTCGATGGCATGATTTATATTAAACAATTGCAATTTATTTTCATTATTTATAATTTATTATAATATAATATAATTTATTACATTATTATTTAATATACAATACGACGGTGAAATCAATTTGAATAAACTTTGTTACATAATCTGTCGATAAAACTAGGAGCTAAAAGAGCGCGTCGCTTCTCTGTAACGAAAAGACAGCGTCCATGAAGTACTGCATTTTTTGTCTAAAGTTGCCTGTTAGTAAATAAGGAACTTCATAGGCATGATTATGTCAAATGTTCGAATGTTTTCAAATATTTTTTATGTAATCGATAAATTGAATCAATGTGATCATTGTGAAAAAAAATGTCATAAAATAGAAAATTAGCAATTAATGTAAAAAATAGGCTTATGTACAGAATGTAATTCCACCCTTGGCTAGACTGGATGTAGCAGAGATTTTTTGCAAGTTTGTAAAGCGCAAGACGACATATTTCGTGGAGTATTTGACGCGGTGAATTCGATAATGGAAATGAAAAAACATCGATTTGAAAGTAACGTTTATGTTTTGTACCTGTACCTTGACAGAGGGGATTGCCTATCGATGACGCCTCCAGTCCTATATGCTCTAAGTAATTTACATTTGGGAATGTATAGAGCTTGTGTAATTGTGACGTAATTTTTTATGGGTTCTATGTATCACAAATATCAGGGTAATTTCACATTTCAACAAGTGCAAACTTAACTTCAATCAAATAGTTGAAATACATTTAATTTATAAAGAGGAAAATAAACTTGCCTAACACTGCCGTCATAGCCAGTCACCAAACTTTATGGCAGAATCGGCTCAGAAAAAGCTAAATGCCGGGTGCACGAGTCTTTCTCTTGCGTTTTTCGCTTGCTTGCGTTGGCTGGGGCGCAAGGCAGATTTCTACGCCGTAGAAATCTGGCTTCCGCGCAAAGGCGTTCACGAGTCTTCCGCTTTGCGTTGCGGAGAGACTTGCGCGCATGCGCATTTTATATCCATTTATATAGATTACCCAAAGGTGAATCGTATATTCTTTTGTAAGATCGTTATTTAATAGTAAATACCTAAACCATTCGATCTAGCAAAACAGGTTTTTCCGCTTCTCCTCCGGTGACTCGCCTTAAATACAAATCGTACAACGTCGTCTTTAAAGTGATTCCATGCCGATAAGGCTCAATTTACGTTGCTCCGGATTTGTTAATTGTGTAACGCACAAACTAGATAAGAGTAAAAAAACAGTGCCTCTACCATGCGATTACAATGACAGTTGTCGCTAGCGACCGTGTAAAATGTTTGTATACAAAATGTTGCTTCTTCTTGTGACCCCTAGGTGCCATGTGTAATTTGCCATACAAAATTGTGAAGTAATCTACGCGGTCGCTAGCGACAACTGTCACAGTAAACTCGTGGTAGAGGCACAGCTCGCGGAGAATTCTCGCGACATCTAGGTAATCCCTGCAGCTACCGTATCATATCTAGTTTCTACGTTACACAATTGATATAAAGTACATTATGCTATGTATTACGTTACAAAAACGTAAATGTAAATTGAGCCAATGTATTCTTAAGGCTAAGAAATCACGGAGCAGTTTCCAACCGCGCCCGCCGCGGTTGCGAAACAGCCGTTTTATTTCAATATTCACGACATCGCAGGCTTCCATACCAGTTACATATCGGCAGACACATGATCACACCATATTTTATGAACAAAATGTAAGTATATTATAATATAAGAAAAAAATAAATAACGCCACATACGTCAAATCACAGATTTGCTTACAAAGTATTTTCTTCCATACATGCGCATATCACAGATCGTAAATCTCAAACGTCACATACAATAATAATCGAAATAAAAGTTATGACGGTACGAGTTGACAGTATGTTAGAACGTTAATGTGCACTTTCTACGTTTTTACCGCTTTACGTGTACCAAAAAAAAAAACTCGTCTAAAATTACTTACACGCACATCATGGTGTCGCCACCGAGTATACTTATAACCAGAAATAGAGACGAAATAAGGGCCATCCATCCCTGGCAACTCATCAGGCAAATGGGCGTTCTATCACTTTTATATACCTACTTTCTTTAGCACTAAAACCACAAATTAGAAAGCTGATATAATACAGCGCCAACAACTGACCTGTGTGTACATCTCCGTATATTCCAAAAATCTTCTGTATTTTTTGTTATAAAGATTATGTGGGGCTGTTCCATCGGTGGTGTGGGAAAAACAGCGAAACATCTAATTACAAAACAAACGGAATCATATTTCATCGGTAATTAAATATGCAATTTTTCAACTTTCGTCTATTATAGGAAAGCTCAAGTTAAACTGATCGATTTGAAGTGAAACAATTGACGACACCCGTCAATTGTTTCGAATTCGGGTTGGCCAATCGGAGCGCAGTTGTCACCGTTAATGATTTGGCAGAATTGTTTTCAAACAAATTAAATGATATTTCGTCTCTATTTCTGGTTATATACTCGATGGGTGCCGCGCAAACATAGTAGAATAAGAAGAAGTATGGTAACTCCATGTTCCGGATATGCTCGGTCTAGTGTTCAATACCTAATTTCCGTGGTAATTTTTATTATTTAAGTATTCGATTTTTTTTATCGTGCAATATTTAACATTCGAGTATTGTATAGTGAAATATTATTTAATAATTACACGATAATATACTTGAATATTTAAATAATAAAAATTGCCACGGAAATTAGGTAACGAACACTAGCCCGGCTTGTATGTCTACAAGACATACGGACGCACACATTTGGACAGGCTAAGGGTGCTCTGGCGTTGCACAACACTGGTCGTCTCAACTCATATTTCATTATTACGCGAATGTGTGCGTTCGTACATGGTTGCGCGCACACACAATTATTGATTGGGTACGGAGTTGCCCTACTTATTCCACTATGGCCCAAACGTGTGTCTTGTATTGGATACAAGCAACCGGCGGCAACTAGAAGCGAACATTCTATTTTCATACAATTAATATGAATTCGACACTGTCGTCGGTTGCAGCAACAGGACACAGTCGCCAGTTGCGGCAACTGCAATAGCATGAAAGTAGAATATTCGCTTCTAGTTGACGGTTGCTTGTATCCAACACAAGACACACATTTGCGCGGCGCCTAAGCGGAATTTTTTAACGCAAAAGAGGTAAGTGATAGTATTATCATTCATACATTATACCATGTGTAATAAAAAATCTTGTGTCTGTCTATATTATAGGCAGAATTAATTTATTTGGTGTTTATATACGTAATTACCGCTTGAAAAAACGGTCAGTGTGGAAAATACCACCGTTGTATATAAGAAACAGTCAAAAAAGTCTATGGGGTTGCGTTGTTAGCGGAATGGGCAGCCGGGGGCCCAGTGGCCTCGTGTGTTGCAGTTGTAGCAGCGCCCGTAGCCGCCATAGGGGGCGCCGGGGAGGCCTGGGACGACCCCACGGCGTCGCGGCCGACTACCAGTATTGTTTGACCGCCCTGTTAAGTACATATTATTAGTCTTGCTGTTAAGTTCCTAGTACTTAAGAAACTACTATTATATTATGTAGAATATCTTGCAAATAGAGGTGACCCGATCGTGTAATTATCAAATATACACGCACACGAACACACGCACGCACGCACACGCACGCACGCACACGCACAGATGCACACGTTGTTGGCAATTTGTAACTAATGTGGTAGTGATAGATGAGAAGAACACGCTTACCTGTTGTATTATTTGATACACCCGATGCGGCTGGAGTGGCATCGGTAGCGCTCCCCTGGGCGGAAGACGAACCGCCCGAAGCGCCGACAACTGCGGCGGAGCCGGTAGCGGCATCTGCGCCAGTGGCAGCCGACTCGGAGTCATCGGAATCGAATTCGTCGGATGCACTATTGACGAGATAGTAGTCGCGGCCGAAGTCCCCCTCCGCGCCGCTGTTAAGTCAAATGTATCTTTCTTATGGTCACTTTTTACCACTCACGCACATTCTAGCTAGCTTTGGCTCTTGGGAGACTAAAATATATATACATAAATAATTATAATGACGCTCTGGATATCTATCCAGAGCGTCAGAGCGAGTGCATCTGCACTAGGCATGAGTCTGCACGACGATGATCTCTCACCAAATGCATCATTCGAGATCGTCGATTATGATTATGAAGATTATATGTCTATTAAGTGTCAATACCGTGCACATACTTTTTGACAATGACATAATTCGCGGGGAGATTATCACAGATAAAGGGCTCACTCCCTTGTCGTCGGCCAAAGAGGAATGGCGACTCCCGGCGGTGCTTAGTACCTCTGACCGGGAGTTCGTGTGGAAAGAGGAGTTCCATGGGAGGTTCTTCAAGGTACTCCACGACTCCTTTGTGGACAGGAAAGTCACTTAGGCATATGGTTTCCGGTTGTTCCGCTCGTGTTAATACTGAGTAGGTACATACTTGCACAGATACAACCAGGCAGTCAAAATATTATACACATCAAGAGCTCGCTCTGAAGTACGGACTCGTGTAACAGAGATTGCCTTATTCCAAGTATCCACCGGAGCCAATGCTCGAAAACGACAACACGGAAATCGATAGGGACCGATTCATTATCACAGAGAGGACTATTTTTTCAGCCCGAGATTCTGATATCGTCGCCTTACTTTTTCTAACTCGTATTGTAAAACACAAAGTTACTGAAATGCAAAAAATGGTTTGTATATACCACGGAAGAAAGAAAAGAATGGAAATGGCATCAAGCAACATTTGTATCAAAACCGGTGTCGCCACACGCACACATTTGAAAACGTAATCTTACATGAGTAGGTACTAAGATAACATAATTTTTGATTGGTTATAAATTACCAAACGAAAACGGGCAATAATAAAAATATTTTGGTAAAAAAATTGAACTTATTTGGATATAATAAGGTTTTATTATTACTAGTCACACAAAAGCTAAGAATCCTATGAACATAAATTTCTTGGAACAAAAGCAAAAAGTTGACAATCTACAGATAGGGATGTGACATTTAATTGATATCGACATTATGTTTCATAACTAGCGGAATATTGAACTAGGCATTGCTTTATACTTGCTACAATTAGGGTTAACCACGGAGTATATGGAAACGGCATTTAAAGCAATTTCTTCGAGAACTAGCGTAGCTGACTTTTACACGCACACATTTGTTACGAAATACGCATAAGGTTTTACTACACGCAAATATTAATTGATATTAGCTACGCAGGCGTGTGCGTATACATAGCTACATGCTACAATCACTGTATTAATGATTTATTATACTGTCATCGTACTTTCATTAACCTACTAGATTTCAAGTCAATCAGATCACTGGAAGGGTTGAAATATTAAAACACAGTCATCATAAAAATCTTTATTCTCCCTGAAATATGATATATTTGTTCAACAATTACCTCTTTCTGAACTGGCTGAACTTGACTACACCTACAGCGTCGACGAGCTTGTCAAGAAAATTAAGATACTTATTTCCGAAGGCGAAGAAGCGAATAATTTGATTCATGAAAACTTGACGAAAAATAACTGGCAATGCTTCAGAAATGTTTTCACATTTAGATGTGGTCTATAATTTGTGAAGGCGAGTCTGAGTTTCATGTCATACATTATTACCTGATTAACCAAATTATTTATTTCTTAATGAATTTTTCGGTTGTTATTTATATTTATATAATTTAATGTGACGTCATAAAATGCCTATAGCAAATGGTGCTACATTTAGTAGGTACCCAGCTTTTATTGCCTGTTGCTTCAGTCCATTTCTCCTTTAAAAAAGATCCTGCGGAAAATTAAAAAAATCAATACAAAAACTGCAAATGTAAATCATGCCTGTGATAAAACTAAGAACTCAAGCGCACGAAAATGACGTATAATGAGCAAGTAGGGAGATAGGAATCATGTAGACAAGGGAAAGAAAATCTCCAATCTCATAAAGTCTTCATTTGATACTCCACGAGCTTACGTGCATTGTAAAATTATCGATACTATAACTCTTCTGTCTATATTTCTTTTTTTCCATTAATATGTCGTTTTTACTTAAATTGAAAATTTTTAAAAACTATTGCGAGTGTTGGGACCAAACATTTAAGTAATCAAAATTGTTAGCTTTTAAATATCTGTAAACAATTTATGTTTACACATTGGTACCGCTATAATAAAAAAAATGTTGAACTAAACCAAAACCGGGTTTCTAAATACAGAGTTTCTACATATCGATAATTTGATTACAACACGCGGACCCAGTAGGTACCAAGTGTAATACGACGCTAGTGCAAGCAATTCATTGAGCGTCATTCGAATTGTTCTTTTGACGGCGGCGATGGTTAGCAACCAATGTATATTGTTATTACCGGGTTGCAAGAAAATAGTTTTGTTTCGAAATTATAGTATTGTATAGTCATTGACTTACAAATAAATGGACGACGGGTCTAATACAAAAACCACGAAAAAAATGTCCCAAGTCAACTTATTTAAACGTAGTGACATGTCAAGGAATATGAAAAAGCTAAAACGTTGAATTTAAATTGTAATGTCATCGCAGTACTGTCTAATTTTGCTTGCTTCGCTGTCAGTCGAACAAACGAATACTAAAGCGTGAATGACGCTCTGTATACGATTTTAACACCCTATAAGTTCGGACACTTTTTAGCGCGGGCCCGACGTCCATATAATTGTAAGTCAATGTGTATAGTTCAAAATATTAGAAAATACAGACTTTTAGCACTTACCGATGGAAGGAAATCACTCCCGGAGTATTTTTTAAACTTTGACTTCTTACGCGACATGATATAATGGCACAATTCTATTTCTATTTCTATGTTTTCCACAAATTAATCATGTATCACATTTGAACGACGACTGACGCGCTGTTGACACTCATACGAACGTCTGTTCATAAGCTAGGTAACGCGGACCCCACCCACTAACCAGTCTATTACTAGTATTTATGTGGTCTGTGGTATATACCAATTTTGCAGGCTGATTTCAAATCACATCTCTTTCATATTTATACACTGGCTTTTACCTATTCTTAAAATAATGCATCCAAATTAACACCCTTGATAAGAAATTTAAAATAAATAAAAAGACTTGCCATCTCCTGAATAATCACTCTTTATAAGATACGAGTTTGAGAAAGTAAGGCATCGATATTGGATCGATAGCATTCGAGGGTATTTCTCGTGAACGTTGCCATCCCGCATGATGACAGTTTCGTGAAAGCAGAAATCGAGAAACGTGGGAAGTATCTCGATCTGGCGCACGAGATCACAGACATATTGTACGTGGCCTACACTGAAATAATCTCAATATTGTTTTGTCCGCAAACGGGTTAACTCCAGTCACCCTCGCTAGCAGCTTGAGGCGGTTGAATTTCTGTGTCTTGTCGATTCCTGCACAAATGCAGAAAACTGTCCAACTCGATACGGCACGAATTGATCGCCGCCACCGATTCTTGAACCTGAGTCCCGAACCCCGGCCGACAGTGCCATGGCCCGACTGTGCCATGGCGTGCTCCCCACCGCCTCTCCCATTTAAAAATTCAAAATTAATCTTTTAGGTCATAGGAGAGGCGAGAGTTTAAAAGAGATAATAATAATAATTCTTATCTATTTTAAACTAATAAAAAATAAAACTTTTTGTGATGCCTTTTTTAGTTTTAATTTTTTTTAATTAAACCAACGTTTCGGGCTTTTTACAGGTTCCATAGTTGCGGCAGACTATACAAATACACTATAGATAAGTATACTTGAATTTGTATTTTTTTTAAATTGTAACTACTAGGCAATAGATTCTTACTAGTAATCGGGGTAGTATTCCAGGAAGTCCGTGTCCTCCTCGGCGCTGGAGTACGAGCTGAAGCTGAAGCTTCTTCTTCGGCTGCAAAAACACAATCGATTTTAGATTAGTTTATTCGAATTAAGAACGCACAGAGAGATTCCATAGAGCTAATCACATTGGTATATGAAATCAAACCAACCCATTGTTTCGATACAGTACAAATACTCTCTATAGCATATCTGAACAAATATACAATACAACAATAAAAACACAGGTGCAACAGGTGGCCTAATTGTTAGATAGCAATCTCTTTCAGGGAACCTCTGAGTTACAGGATAAACTTAACGATAATCATGAATGGCACAATAAAATGCTAGTTAATTAAAAAATACGAATGTATTGCACTAACACAAATAAAAATAAATAAAAGTAAAAATAAAAAAATTCGAATAAAAGTAAAAAATATACGAATATATCGCACTAAAAAAAATGAACTGTAATGTATTCACTTTAGCGGATGTTATGGCTTGATTGCTATTAACTCTGCGATCCTTTAGTCATCGTCAGGCTGAACTGATATGCCCGATAGTCTGTGACCAGGTGGTTTGATTTACGAATGTAATCACTCACAAACCCTTTTGTTTATGCATAATATTTAACCCGTATCAAGGAGCCTAGATCATAAATAAGAAAAAAGAAGACCAATCTTGAGCGTTATTTAATAATATGGGACCATAGCCATAATAAGACAAGATGCATACGGTCGACGAAGGAGCATGCACACCTAAATAATGTCTATTCACTTTCGCCTTGAAAAAGCCCAAGCTATAACGTTCAGGGAACAAGTCTGCAGGCAGAGAATTGCACTCCATAGCCGTTGGCCATATACATGTGGAAGCGTAACTCTTCGTGCGAATCTTTGAAATACTTGGTACTTGGTGTAACGGGCTAGTGTCCGCAACTCGACGTCAAGGCGCCTATTTTGCGTGTGGGAATCTTTGAAATATCCACAACATAGAGGTGGGACCCAAGCCTACGCCTAGTCCCCCGGTGATGGAAAGGGGAAGCCGGAATTAAATCGTGTTATTCCATCGCACACTCTCCGTGATATATCCTGTAAAATACCGATAAGCAGGCAATTTTACGGTGGTGTTCAAGGCTCTGCAGCTTCACCTCTACTGATTCCGAGTCACCTATAAGCCTTTTGGCACGATTGTCAATTGAATCCAAGGTGGCCAGTTGGTATGTAGCAGAGCCATCACAAAGCTGGTGGCTGTATGTAATGGTTCACCAATAATACCTACCAGTTCACTGAACAATATGAAATGTTAAATGGCGGCCCTAACCTTTAAATTCATTGTCTCATAAACTATCAGCAAAAAAAATTCAGAAAATTAAATTGTCTTTATTAGGATTGTTAAATCTGCGTTCGAAATAAAAAATTATGTCATGAAACTTTAACGCATTTCAATGATTTTTTAATATGAAATTAATTACTCAAAATCGATTATAGCATGACGATTAACATGTTCACAGAGTTGTTTTTGTTGTATAGAATAAATTTATCAAGAAAAGAATGCGCATCTTATTTGTTTGGGCTAATTTGGAGTGTCTCTAAATTTAAGTTAAATTAGAATTATTAGGGCCTTACATTTTATAAGTATTTGGGTTTTCCTAACTTTTTAACAGGAAACAAAAATTTTAATGTCATCCGTCTCGCAGAAGTGATCAACAATTAGTAGAATTTTATTTATTATTCAAAAAAATTCAGTAGAAATAATTGTTTTCTTATCTTTGACTACAGCAGCAAATTAATTATTTGCTTTGCGAGTGAAATGTCATTTGTAACTTAATAAAGTAGGCACCTTCAATTTTTGACAACTGTCAATTGTCAAATGTGGAAAAATATTTTATTTTTCTGAATATGACTTTTTGAAAACGGAAATTTTTCTGTGATCCAACAACTAAAATAACAATATGAATGAATGGAATATTGTTTATTGCACGTTAAATTACAGTTAAAATACAATACAATGCTTAACACGTTGCACCCGCCGCGCCGTGCCCAAACGAGGACACTACTTTGAGTACTCGTAATTTTTTTATATTACTATTAATATTCATTACAAAAGTGTATATGTAAAGTAAAATAGTGAATCTTGATTATATTACTTAAAAAAATTGTTTAGAATTAAATAAAAGTGGGTGTACTGTTCCTTTTGCGGGGTTAATTTACGCACATATGAAAGTCAGTTGTTTTTCCTGTTGTTACCAACAATTTATTACATTAATTTATTTATTGTTGAAATATATTCGTATACTGTAAAATAAAAATGATATAATTGAGTTAAATAGTGTTTTCACAACTTCAGACGGTGGTAAATAACGGTGTCCCTAATTGGGGCCATTGCGCGCATACGGGGTAGTTTATTCGTTTCTCATCTAGAAGTAATTTTCAAGGAAGTAATGACACAACGGGTATTTGGCAGCCACAATTATTACTATGGGCTTCAGAAAACCATTGAAGCTGTAATAGATGAAATAGAGTAAAACCGTGCCAATTTTGACTATCGATTTTAACCAATCAACCAAATTGTGTTCGTTCTATGGCTTGACAATAGTATTTGCACGATGAGCTCTCTGATTATGACAATGTACTTTCCCTGGTGAAAATAAAAAGATGAAGCGCTGTGAATAAATAGAAAGTTGACGTGGGTATCCCGCGTGATTTCAAACTTACCAGCAGGATAAATCAAGCTGACCAATCTTTTTGTATCGCACTGCTATAAGAGGCAAAAACTGGTGATGTGTTTTGTTCCGCTACAAGCTGGACCTAGCACTAGCTAATACACGGTGTTTACACTTCCTGACTAATGATACGAAGCTAGATCAGCTACAGTTTAACGGTTATATCAAGTCACTATTCGAGACACAAATACTCAAAGTTTACATCCAGCAGCTTCTTTGGTGCTAAATCTACAGTACATTGGTGTCGGTCACTACGCTCAGAAGTTGGCTTAACAGTTATGATGTGCAAATAGCTGTTGAGCCACAAATAAGCGCGTTGGCAACATAAAAAGTGCAACAAGTCGTTGTACACCGACAAATATTGTTATAATTTTTTTGATACTGCTTGAGCCCATTGTCCCCGTTTGAGGACGGCATTTTATTTCATATAAAATAATATCTTTTTTTCTTCATAATTTTCTCATAAGTAGGCTATTTTGTAAAGGTTCATAAAAAAAATACTTTTCTAACGCTAATTTGTATTTGGGCGTTAATGGGTTAAGTACAATAGTAATAGTAAGTTAATGTGCAACAGGCGGCATTATTGCTATGTAGCAATTTTTTTCCAGGCAACCTTAGTGCACCCCTTTTGCATATCTCAAAAATGATAGACATTTGAGATATGCAAAAGGGGTGCAACCATAGAATAAAATAATAAGTACACTACGTAATAAGTAATAATAAAAATATATATGTAGCAAGACATACATACAAATAATATTAATGCATACATAATAAATAACTAATAATATTAAATACTTATATACTTTTAAAGGAAAAAGAAAAATTAAGTATAAATATAGGAAATAAATGAACGGATAGTAGAGGAAATACGTAACTTAGAAGTAGAAGAAGTGATCCTTGACACGTTGTTTGAAGGAATCAAGAGAAAGGGATCGTCGAATCAATTCAGGGAGAGATTCCACAGATCTGACCGCAGAAACGGTAAAAGAGTTGGAATAAAAGTTAGAGGTATGTTCAGTAGGAGAGTATCAGAGGAGCGAAGGGGACGGCAGAGTGTAGAAGAGTGGAAAGTAAGCGATCCTTATGATAAGAAGGCGTAAAGGGATAGAATATAATTGAATAAATTTTTCGCATAAATAAATAATGTTCCGGATGTTTTTCCACATTTGACGTTGGTCAATGTGGAAAAATATCCGGAATGTGTTGTATATATGAGAAAAATAAGTGTATATGTGTTGGACACCGGTCAAAAGTTGGAAGTTACTCAACGAAAACGATGGAGCCAGTAAAAAGGTTTTCCCGTTGTTGTGAAACCATTTTAAATCTCGGTTTTTTCTATGTGGTTTTAGCTAAACAAGTTTACTTTATAATTCACGCTAAATAAAACTTCAAAAGACATTTCTAAACGTAGAATATTCGTCGCGAATATTAGTCGCCTTCGAAATTATATTTTTCCAATTTTTCGGCGAAATACCAACAGTAGGGTTGTGCGCCGGACAGGCGGGAGTTGTCCTACTTATTTTTATTATACTATGACGTAACATTTTGTCTTTTCACAAACGTCACATTTATTATAAGGCGAACATTTCGGGAGTTATATATTTAAAATATAATGCCAAGTTCAACATTCGCCATTTTACAGCAAGAATGCTTGCTAAAATAAGCATTACTTGCGATCATATTTCAATTACATGGATGACATGCTCGTAAATAAATCATTTACTGATAAGAGACAGCAGCACTGAAATTAAATTAATTTTAGTTTTCATTTGCTCGAGTCGTTGTCACTGTCTACGAAATGTTAAACTGAACAATTGAATCAGAATATGCACGACTTATGATTTCATAAGCCGTGCATATTCTGATAATGGTATTCGCTTAATGGTAACTTGGTTTTGTTGTGTGTTTCGCTCACGTTATGCATCAGTGTCTAAACAAAATGGTCGGTGCAATTTAGGTTTGATTTTTTTAATTTGACCTAAAATTAAAGAACATCAGATCAAAAACGATACGAGACATTTTAACTTATTCTCTTTTTAACGCTAAACGCATCGAAACGGTAGTTTTTGTACGTTACTACGAATAATTCATCCAACCTGAACAGCAACCGATAAATCCGTCTTAAAAATATATTTCAAATAAACGGATCTGAACACAATGCGAGAATTCCGTCAAATGAGACTAAACGAAATTAGAATTCAAATTTACGGGCTTTTGTTCGCTCCTCAATTCACTTCGGTAAGTGCCTGATAAAAATTATACCACTTATCATACCTATAGGCCTCCGCGTAGTTCGATGTTGCGAGTTCGGCCTCGAGTTCTGCAAACAATACAGCTTCTATAAGACTAAATGCATTTATTTTGTTAATTTACACGACTAAAAAGACTTTTACGAAACGCTTTTGCTTGTAACGCTAAAACGAGTAACTTTAGTTACGAGTGTGGATGGGACTATATATATAATTTTATAAAAGGGGATTAAAACTACAAAGACATAAGTTTTGTAAAAAATATATACATTTTATTGATAGAAATATTATAGGATACTTTAACAAACTACGCTTAAAAATTTGTACATTTGCTACTTAAATATAAGTTTTTCAATATACATACAGGCAATTTGTGACAATTTATTTCATTCAACATTGTAAAGCAAAAAAAGGAGAAAATTTTATAAACAACATGTCGTTTTATGTTAAAAACAAATTACGTAGTATTCTCAGTCATAATATAGTATTATTTCCGAAGATTATTTGAAAAATTTTAGAGAAGTGTCAATGAAGCTGCATTGTTCACATTTTATTTTTGCATTCACCAAATATATATTTAAAAAAAAACACAACAATGTTATTACCGTCTAAAAATACGTTTACATTTGCATGTTGCATTTTTTTCAACAAAAATCAACTTGCTAATAAGTTGTTACAAATGAAAATACGCAACATAAATAAGGTATATGCTTCAGGCCTTCTATAAGCTGACAAGTGAGTTTCACAAACGCCATATTGCGGAGTAATATAGCAATAGTTTCTTCTATATTGATAATAACCATATGGACATAAAATTCTACATCACTATATGCATTCAGGGTCTTAAAACAACTTGTCAGCTTTTGTTTCAATTCAATTTATTTCTTTTTGAATTTACCTTCTCTATCTTTGAGCATTTCTTCTCTTCTTTTCTTCATTTCTTCCGATTTTTGTATCGCTTTTTCTATGAACGAATCGAGAACTAAACTTCTACATTGTGATGTTATTTTGGCGCTGAAACAAAATAAATATTGGTAAGTTTCTCTAATCTCCGGGTCGTATTCTAGAATTCTACTTAATGCTCAAGTCAGGATTTGAGTATGGTTTAAAGCACTCGAAATCATACTCAAGTCCCTGCCATTAGTGTCGTATTTCCAGTGCTTGAAATCATACTCAGATCCTGACTTGAGCATTGAGTAGAGTTCTAGAAGACGACCCTCAGTGTACTACTGTCTGTCACGAGCTGATGATATAAAAGATAAAGGTAAGTGCTCATACTATATTTTACGGGCAGTAGATGAGATGCTGTACAGCACTTCTGTCAAGCCGTTGAAAGGGTTGCTATTTATAAATAACTCTTTCTTCTTCGTCTCTTTCTGGTAATGAACTGCTGTTTCTTCACAATAAACATTTTATTATCTACATCTTTTGAAAAGATAATTCGATCTAAGACTGATACAAGATGTAGCGCAACTCACCGACAAATAGGGCAGTCTTTTTTCTTCTTCTTCCACATTGTGATGCAATATTTGCAAAACGTATGCGAGCAGTTCAAAGTAGTGGCGACTATGAACAATTCGGCACAAATGCTGCACTGCAGTTCACTCTCCATTAATTCGCCTACTTCCTCCATTGTGCCCTGCTTGGAAGTACCCTGGCCGGCGTTGTTGGAACATAGACTATTCAGCAATGTGTTCTTTTCACTTTCAAGTGACTGTAGTTGGGATTTCGTCTGGAAGATAAAATGAGTATTGTGAGACGTAATATAGGTATCGATTAGTAGTAGTCGACAGATAAAGGTGGTACCTTTATCTGTGAATCAAGTTTTATTGAAAGCAAATTCTTGCATTATATTCCATGTGTGTACTGAACTCAAAAAGCACCATAAGTTCCTGGAAATACAAGAAAGGATGTGACCAAACTTGACGACACGGATTCGCATAAAGCAGGTCAGAAAACTTTATGTCGTTTCCACACGGACCGTTTAATAGGTGTGGTGGCTCCCTGTTAGAAAATGCAATATAGGAATATATTAAGTAATCTGGATGTCAGTAACTCTACCTTTGACAAAGTCAGAGTTTGGTCAAATTACATGCATACGAGACTTTTCAACTTATATCTCAGGGTGCCGGGCGCAGTGGCAGCGCCTCTCGAGATCTTTGCGATGTAAAGCTCTGAGTGGCACTGCAACTGTTATGGATAGGCGTGTCGTTTATCGCCAAGTGCACGACTTGTTCGTCCCGTCACTGGGTATCATGGTATCATGTTATTAAAAAAGTAGCTTCAAGAAAAGAGTATGCCTGTGAATGGCTTAAATATCTATGCTGTAGACTGTGTAGGCATTTCACGAGGCATCCATTCCAATAAAGAATGAACACTAATCATGTTGTTTAGCTAGTGTAATATTTAGGCAACCTATACTAATACATGTATATATATTATTAGTCTTTTTTGAATATGGAGTAAAATGACGTTTGCAGGGTTGCCAGTTTTCATAAAATTAGTTATTGTCGATAGTTTCGTCGGTAGATTGTGAAAGAAGGTAAAATTTTGCCATAAATTGTCTGAATTGTGAATGTTAGAAGTTCTAATGATTACTAATTGTGTTGTTACATTCTTTATTCTAATTTTGACAGTTGGCCTACTAGATTCGAAATAAATTTTTATTCATACACATTATCTATACTAAATTAAAATGAAAAACTTTAAAATATGTCTCCACTTTGTATTTTTATAGAAATAGCTCTAAATGCAGTGTATGCATGTATGAAGTTACGAAAATATACAATTTAAATGGACCTCTGCTCAGCAGTTGGACGAATAATGGGCCGATGATTATTCAAATGAAACGAGTACAGCTATTTATTGCATGAGGGTGACCAACATTCAGTCGATAGAATATTTATTGATTGCAATCACTAAATACTTGCAAGCGGGCAACACTTTTACACAATGAAATGTCATTTCACTCCATCTTCAAAAAAAGGCAGAATAAAGGCTGTCTACATTACTTACTGATTTAGAATTAAAGACATTATGGTAAACTCAATCCTTTTCACTATTTAGTACATAATTACTACTAATTTCAGAATAAAAACCTGTGGATTATTTACCTTTGCCAATTGTTCCTGTAATGAACTTATCACTCCACCGGACTGTTCTGCCTGCTTTTGTATCATTTCTGCAGCCAGTGAAGCTAGCTCAATTTCTCTTTCTCTTATTTTTTCCTGGTAATAACAGCTATCTATTAGACATAATTATAAAGTACAATCACATTACACTAAAACTATATAAAACTAGGTATGTACACATACATAATAAGTTTGTGAACATTTCTGCAAGGTGGCTGTTCTTTATTTTTACACATTTCCAAGGTGAAAGGTTGTTACATCGCCGTGTCGTCGTCCTCAGTTTAATGTGGACAAGGCAATTTTTTTTCATATTTACGCACACGTAAAATGTCACGCATGCAATCGGCGGTTATAAGTGATAATTAAAAATGACCAAAAATTGATTTAATGTAATAATTTTTAAGCTTAGTGTGCAAATAAAATACCTTGAGTTCTTTCATCTCTTTTTCCGCATTTGCTTCTGCCTCAGCAAGTTCTGTCAGTTTTGACTCCTTTTCATGGAGCTGAAACAATACATTTATTCACAGGCCAAAACAATATAATAATACCAACTAAGCATTGGAAAATTACTATGGACGTGGCACAGTGATGTCATAATAATATAGTCTCGTATTTGACGGTATGCAAAACGAATTTACTAGGTGATTTTGAAGTGTAGCATTAACCTAAAGTAACAAAAGTAATTTAAATTAACCCTCATTTTTTCTAGCCACATTGGCTTATTGTACATCGAGTTCCTAACCTAACCGAGTCCATACAATTTATGGGAAAAAATCTTACAAGTTGTTCCATTTTCATTTTTTCGTCTTCACTGACTTTCTTCAGCTCTTCAACTCGCGTGTTCAACGTCACTTGGGCCTTGAGCCTTTCCTGCTCTGTTTGCTCAATTTGCTGAGCCAAATTTTTTTTTATGTCGTTCAGTTCTTTTATAAGCTCTTGTTCTAGTTGCTTCTTTTGATCTTCTAAATTCCTGAGTTCCTGAAAAAAGTTTCATAATGACAAAGATTAAAATGGGTATGGGGAAACAAAAATTGTATTGTTAACAAGTGTATTGTTTTCTTGTCTATTTCCAAAAACCAGTAATGAACAGCTACAGACTCGAATAGTTAATAGATTTACAATGCGTTTACAAAAAGGGAAATTCAATTTATAATGTAAAAGTTTAAAAACGGAAAGAAATCTCCAGTATTACCTAGCAGTGTAAGGCGAAAGACAGCCTGGTGACTTCAATATTCAGTAATTTTGTTTCTGCTAAAATATGTTTCTACCAATTTTAAGGTTAGTTTTCTCTACCTTATATCGGTGGCAATTTCTATTATTTGAATATGCAGATGAATCGAAAATTGACACTGTTCTTAACCAAGACTTCCAAATTGACCTTCTTCTAAAATTAGTGACGCCCACGGAGATAAGTTAATAAATATATTAAACTCATGGCAAACCACCAAGCACCAGGGTTCGATCTCATCGACAAGAAAGTCCTTGAAGAGTTGCCGCACAAAGTATTAGTATATCTCACAATACTATTCAATGCAATCGTGAGAGTAACACATTTCCCAGATCTGTGGAAAGTATCCCAAATTATAATGGTCCACAAACCTGGTAAATCTCCTCACGAAGATACTTCATATAGGCCGATCAGCCTACTGCCTGCTATGTCCAAGCTGTTTGAGAGGTGTCTGCTACGGCTGACACATTTATTTCAGGAAAATTTCATCGTCTCTGACCACCAATTCGGGTTTAGAAAGGAACACTCAACTGCAGAACAGGCCCACAGAGTATGCAGAGCAATCGGAAAGTCATACGAAACAAGAATACTGCTTGTCGGCGTTCCTTGACATACAGCAAGCCTTTGATGAAGTTTGGCACAATAGGTTTGCTCTATAAACTAAAGTCTTTATAGTCACACGCATTCTATGGACTCCTCGAGCTCATACATTAGTAACAGAACAGTTCAAATTAAGGATAGTTCCCACACATCAGGATTTTATGAAATCTCTGCAGGTGTTCCACAAGGTTCCGTGTTTGGGCCTGTTCTGTACACACTCTTCACAGCCGACCTGCGACAATACTCAAAGGCCACAGTTGCTACTTTCGCTGATGACACGGCATTACTAGCCTCAAGTAAATGTCCAGTTGAAGCGGACCGAACACTTCAAAGCAGCCTAAACGAAATGGAAGTTGCCACTAGTGTGATTACATCACTACAGGTCACATTCACTCTCTGCAAAGAAGACTGCCCACCGGTCACCTTAAATGGCGCTCAACTCCCACATCAGAATGTAGTGATATACCTGAGAATGCATTTGAACAGCAGACTTACTTGGAAGAAACACATTCAAACCAAAAGAGATGAAATCAATTTGAAATTCAAAGGACTCCTCTGGCTGATTGGACGAAATTCAAAAGTGGCCATTGATAACAAAATTCTAATTTACAAAGCAATACTAAAGCCAATTTGGTCTTATGGCACTATGGTAATGACTTTCCAAAGGGTGCAGAGCAATATACTAGGAGAGACATCAAATGTGCCATGGTTCATAAAAACAACGAAGATTCACGAATTTTTGACATGCTCACAGTTACAGAAGAAATAGCTTGCTATGGTGATAAATACAGAAGTCAGCTAGAAGATCACCCAAATTAACTAGCCAAGTAGCTCACTATGCCTTCGTATACTTTCGTATACGAAGATTTAAAAAAGGCGTGTCATCTTTGACCACGGCAGTCAGTAAAATACCTGACTACACAACCTATAAAGCAGGGCTCCATTGGGAGTAGCACCCTTTCTATTATGAACTACATACAACCCATCTGTTCAAAGCCAGGAAGGCTGATTGCAGGATTAAGAAAAAAAAAAAATATTTAATTAAATTAAATTCTTAAATTCTTGTTTTAAGTATCTAGGGCACTGAGTGTGTCGGAGAGTCTGTGTAACGACATGGACGTTGACAGGGAGCGCAGGGCGTTGGCAGTAAGATGCAATAAGCTGGCCCGCAGGTTTGCACATTGTACTAGAAACGTAAAACTCACGTTTTTTAAAGCATTTTGCCAATCTTTTTACACATGTGGCTTGTGGGTTAAGTATACACAGAAAGCGTGTCGCGCCCTGTCCGTCCAGTATAATGACGCCCTCAGAATGTTGTTGGAATTGCCGCGCTACTGCAGCGCTTCGGGAATGTTTGCCGAGGCGCGAGTTTAGAGTAGAGAGAGTAGTAGAGAGTAGGCTTTAGCGCCATTTTGCGGAAGCGGGTAGCGGCCCTAATGCGCAGGGTGCGGGGCAGCGCCAATAGCCTTTTTCGTACAGAGGCCGAGAGGAATGATGGGCCCATATTATATCAATGGGTGTACATGTCAATGTTTAGATTATTTATATTAACATAGTTTGTAACAATTTCGTTACTTACACCACATGGGTATATTGTCCAAAATAAAGAATTGAAATATCAGTGAATAGTCTTTATCTGTTTAGTCACCTGTCAAAACTTTAATTACACTGTTAACAGTAAAGTTTACCACTACAATTCTTTTAGCCTGCTGTATGAAGTGCTTATATATATTTTGGTCTGGTTTCTATTTGATACTTTTTCATTATAATTATAAGAGTGGATATTACCTGTTCTTTAGCCAATTTAATCAGTTCCGTTTCTTTACGCAACTGTTCTTCCAGTTCTTGCTTTTCTCTTAGTCGAATCTCCTCCTGTTCCAGCATTTTGGCTTCTAACTTCTCCAACATGTCCTGTTTAGAGGAATTTTCTCTACTCAGTTCAGAGAGGAACTCTTCACGCTCTTTTAATAATTTCTCTTTTAGCTGATTGTTCTCTTTGAGAAGTTCTGACTCTGTTGCGTTGTGTTTCTGAATTTGTTCCTAAAATTAAGAGAATGGGCTACTATTGCTTATATGTGTACAATGTTTGTGGTAATTGATGCAGTTAGGTTTAGTTGTAATTTGGCTCAAATGTCAAAGATACAGAATACTAACCATCAGCTCTTTAATTTTTCCTTCCATTTCGTCTCTAACAGAAGCCAACTGTATATCTCGTTCTTCAATCAACTTGACCTTCTGAGATTCCACCTCTAGTTTCTCCCCTTTTAAATTTTCTATTTGTATTGCAAAGTCATTTTCAAGCTGTTGCATTTTTCTATCCATATCTAATTGTAATTGCACTTTTAACATCTTAGAAGTTTCCTGTCTTTGTTTTGTACTAAGAATTTTTTCTTCTAAATGTTTTATTTCATAGCTCTGTGATTCTTCAAATTTTATCTTAACATCCTTTAAAAGATCATCTCCATTTCCATCATTAAGTTTTCTTCTCTTTTTTGGTACTTCAAATATGTGAGAGGCAGGGTCAATGAATTTATATATGAATTCATTTGGCTCAAGTGTGACTACATCATTGTGTGCAAGTTTCCATGTATTGCCTTTCCCTATCCTATGCCCATTGACTTGAATGCCAAACGAACTGTGATCTTGGAGTTCCCACTCATTGTCTTGGTTCTTTTTCAGAGTGCAATGATTTCTGGATATCGAAAGACATGGAATCACTATCACATTTTTTAATCCTCTGCCAAGAGTGAACTGAAATAAATAGTTCAATTAGGGTTAAAATAAATAATAAATAAATACTGTGAAATTTTACTTGACAATATCTTTTGTGTAGATATAGATACAAAGTAGAGAGTAGAGAGATATACAAATAAGTTTTCTCCGCTTGCTGGGGTCAAAGTAAAGGTACATGATAACTCATGTTAACTCTGTAGCAACTTATAGTTGTGCTCATGAACCAGTATTGAATGTGTCCAGAACTAAATCTAATTGAAATTGGCCTCTTATAACCACATAGTGGTCACATTCCATCTAATGTAGCATATCTTTGAGTTTGTTACAAAATTGACATAGTGGGGATTCCGGTCTGTATATTTCATGATAAAACTTGTTTAAGGGAAGTGACCAGCACAAAGTCTAAAGCCAAGACTAATGTATTTCTAAAAAGTGTGCTGTCCTCAAACCAGGACTTTCACTGGACAGTTTTATAGCAAATTGCTTGCACTGCAGAAACTTCACTATACATCTTACTCCACATGTCTATATTTAAGTTTCTTAAAAATGGGATAACTTCTGTAGCACGAGGTTTACATAATGGTACAGTTAAGAGCACATCAAGCTTGACGCTTTATGCTTTGGACCATTCTTATCATAAGTAGCATGGAGTTGGATTTAAGCCTTAAGTGTTAAGCTTGACGTGCTCTTGACCTTGTACCATGGAGTTTGAGATTGCCTCTCTTGCTAATTTCAAAATATTTCAGTCTGATGTGTGATGATATCCGTTGCAGCCTGATCATAAATTAATTTATCGAGATTTTAGGTTTTCGCGATTGTTACACATAGGAAATGAAACTATTTTTCCGGATTTAAATCACGTATGTTTGTTTTTTCAAACAAACCGACGTCTCGGGCACTTTACAGGTCCTATGGTCACAGTTGACTGAGGTGGTACAATCTTCAACCTGTTATGTCTAATATTAATGCAAACACCCTATTTTTTCACTATAGTTGCAATAGTTATTAATTAAATACCTTATTTTTAATTTTATAAAGAAAACATTCCAATTTATGCCACATTAAGTTTTACAAATTATTTTATTGAATGAATTTTTATTAAGTTTAATTTATTATTAATTAATAATAGAAATTAGAATAAACTAAAACATATTAATTAGTACTGCAGTCTTATGTCTGTTTAGGATTTTTCATTAGAGGAAATACTGGATCCCAAACTGGTGGTACGGAGAAACTATCTTCCTAGTTGAAATTAGGACGTTTTTTAATTTCAATGGCCTCTCGCAGCATCCTGGGTAGATAACGGACTTCTATTGCAAAGACCTGCGGTTTGTCAAACTTCATTGAATGTGTAGGTTTATCCATGACATGCTCGCAGACTGGAGACTTGTTTACGCGACAGTGTTTGACATCAGCTATATGTTCTTTGATGCTGGTACAAATACTTCACTTCGTTTGTCCAACATAAGAGAGACTGCACTCACAGTCAAGGTTGTAAACTCCTGCATCCTGTAAGGGGATGTTACATTTCATGGGTCTCAGGAACTGAGAAATCTTCCTCAGAAGCTTGAAATAGGTCTTGATAGGTGCACGCCCGAGGACTCTTCCGATCTTGTCTGTAACATGTAGGACTTGCTTTATATGCTGATGTTCCCCTGCCAGATTTTTACTGTCGCAGACACCATTTTTTTGTTTTTTCAACAGATTTTAAAAAAAAAACAAATATACGCGATTTAAATCCGGAAAAAATAGTTTCATTTCCTATGCATAAATTAATTATTAATCTCAAAGCTTCGTATGTTATAGGCGTACCTGGCTCCACAAAATACATCAGACTGAGTGTTGTAGTGAACTTTTAAGCCAGGTAATCACTAGCGAGCTGTAACAGTAACGTGACAGATACAGTAACGAGGTTCTAGCGTGAAACAGTCTTCACTCGCTAGAATAAGTACCTGGTTTTCGTTGGCTCACTGCGAACCGCATGCGTTTCGCTTGCGGCAAGCTCGGTAGCCACGTACACACTGTAATTTTTGGTAACATAACATACACGGTTACGGTTCGCTTGTGAGTATCCGACTTTTTAATCTGTAAGACATAAAGACACTGTACTCCATATCATTAGCAAAAGTGTACAGACTTACATCTTCGCAAGTTATATTTATTTTAGACAAATATTCTACGTCTGTCTTCAGCGCCTTGCAAGATAATAAATATGGATAGTTTTCAGACATTGTTATGTTATGCTTAGTTTGTTACTATATCTATTTAATGAATAAATTCACATTAAACGAAGCAACACACCACGCAATTAAGCTTTAACTGACATTATGACATTGACATTGCTAACCACAGAGTACATAGATTTTCTTGCCATATTTGACGTTATTTTACCATAATATACGCTTTAACATATCTGATGGCTAGGCTCCCTGCCAGCACTGGTTCACGTAGTAGCTACGGACCCCAGAGTACATTGAATAATATTGAAATAACCACAGAGCACTTTACTAAATAACTGTGTTGACAACGATAATAAATGACATGACACTGACCGAGTGAATGATGTGACATTGTTCTTGTTCTTAAATAATTTAAAGATCAATATGAGCACATTTTCCAGATTGGTCGAATTTCAGGTACGTAGTATCTATAGTCTGAAAGATTACAAAATTGTTTTGTAAACCGAGGGTCAAAAAATTCACCGCAGAAAGATTTTGCACCAAGATAGGCAACACAGAAAACACAACGTGATTACGTGAATTCGCGTGTTGATAAAGGGATTAATGACAATGGCATTCATTATATGCAAAAATTATTAAGATATTTTACGATATGGAATGGTTTTTGTATTATTTGTTTTCTTAATGCTATGGATAGAAGAAATTATAAATTAGAGATTTGACCAGTGTCCTCAAAAATGTTTATTTTTTTTAAATACAGTTTTTCCAAACGTATTTTTCGTACTACAAATCGTGCCGAAAGTTGGATTTTTCGCATTAGTGCTTTTACTTTTACATTTTTTTAAAATTTACTGTTGTTTCAAGTCTTAAACATAGAACTAAAGAGGTTCTTTAATGATTTAATATTTATGTCCTTTGTGACGTAAGTCATTCGTCATTCAAAGTTATATTTACTTGCAAACATCTTATTTGTTTAAATTGCTAAGGTGTTTTTTAAAACAACGGGTTACATTTAAAAATATCAAAATATTTTCCATAAAGAGGGTTGATTACGCGAGACCGCTGCACGCCGCGCCTCTAAAATAGTAATTTTAATATGGCTGAATACTGGCAACAGTTGCCATTGCACTCCGGAATTTTTAGCAGTAAAGAAATAAAATTAGTTTTTTCTTAAATACTGTTTTATTTTACTTTCAATGTAGTTTTTTCGCAAATGTATTAAAAAATGTCGTTTGACACACGTGCGGATTTGTCATTTTCACTTGTCTCGAGTCTTGACCCTCGCCTCCGGCTCGGGCCAAGAAGCCTCGAGACTCCTGAATAATAACTAACTTTCCGCATTTGTATCAAAAATAACTATTGGTAAACACTCAACTATGTGCAATCTCGATGACGTTAGAAACTAGAACGCCAATGTATTATTGACCCTAAGTTGCGTTGATTAAAAAGTAATCTGCTGATCATTTAGATAAGATTTTAATAGCACTCAACTGTGCTTTGTACGGTTGTTTTTTAAATGCCAATGTTCACCTGTCATGTTTCCTTCTCCATTAGATTCCGTCTTTGTAGTACCTACATCTGCTCCTATCATTTATTATAACATCTAGCTTTGTTCGTGTTTATAATTGTATCAATTTACTATAGTATTATACAGACATATTATATTATATAATAATAATTTATTTTCTCAAAATAATTATACATTCACCTAAATCAGAAACTTAAATATAGTAACATTAAGTACATAAGTTATAAACACAGTACTTCGTGCGACAAACGCTAAATGCATAAAATCTATGTAATACAAATATGACATTTTTAAGAGGTTGGTAGTCTTCACTCAACCAACATAACATACTGGGCAAGAGCATCGTGCGTTCGCGCAAGCGTAGTCTACAAAGATCGGCAATAATTAGATATGTCAAGGAACGTACGTTGTGGGTGGGTTTTGTTCATTATTTGAAATTTATTTTTATTGTTATGTATTTTTATTGAATTTTCTAGAATCTAGAATCTATGAATGCAGTTTTATTTCTTTTAAAAATTAAAGGAATGTTTCCTTTAAGTAAAAATTTCTATCTCCAGTATTTAGAGTACTTTCCCTCCAGGTGGCATTACTTTCCACCCGGTATAATGTATTTTTATTTGACCTTTATTCTACTTATAACTGATACATATTTACTTCCAAATATTTTTTTTATTCTTTCCGCAATTTTGCAGTGGTGAATTGTACGGACAACAGTGCTTCAGACCACACATTTTTGTTCGAAAATCGCCTCCAGCGCAACGGAACAAGATACGTCAATGTGTAGTATAGCATAGGACGTAGATCAGGTAGCGTTGCGAGAGATACTTTTGTATTTTTACATTTTGAACTGGGATTATCTTCATAAATAGATATTTATTACGTATTTTTCAGATTGATTCATGGAAGCCGTTCTTCTAGAACTACCAAGATGTTCTTTTTTTCTATCCTATTTTTTAAATACATTCCAAACACAAACCTACATTCATTCAGCCAGTATTTCTACTCATAGAGTAGAGCCTAGACTACAGTAGCTTGATGTGTTCTTGACTGTACAATTCAAAGAATACATTATTTTGTTATGTAGTTTGTGTGAGTGTTCTCTATTTGTATTGTTGGGTACGTTTCGACCTACTTGATGACACCAGAAGATTAGTGTTTAAAAGGTGTTTCTAATGCTTCAAGTAAAAAGTATAAACGTGTCAAAAGTTAAAAAAAAATTTGTCATAACATGTGGAATCTTTGCCTACCCAAATAAATGTGAAAAAATAATAAAAATTTAAAGGAAGGATTGAAGATTGTTATTCTTAGCTTGTAAACGGCATTCCCACTACTGGCATCACGGCTGGCTTCTTTGAGGAGTTTGCGTATCATACAACTGTCAGTTTGCACACGTATGACCAGTTTGGAGACAGAACCAATAAAGGGTGTGAGTAGCAACAGAAGAGGTTTTGAACGCATGGATTGCTGCTGAATAACGTTAAATCCAGTGTCATGATTTTCTTAAAACAAGCCCAAAGTGGTAGAATCGGTTGAACCACCTCTCTAATCCTGACAGATAATGGTTATTTGTTATGCAAGGCTGCAAAGTTGTTGTTTGACGTGAGTGCTTGTATTGAAACCTGAGCAAACGAAGGAGTCTAAGGGTCGTATTTCAGAACTCTACTCAACGCTCAAGTCAAGATTTGAGCAGATTTGAGTATGATTTGAAGCACTGGAAATACGACCCTAATGGCAAGAACTTGAGTATGATTTTCAGTGCTCACTATAATATTCATGTCCTGACTTGAGTATTGAGTAGAGTTCTGGAATACGACCCTAAGAATCCTGAGCCTAGCGAGGGTTTCAAGCCACGAGACGCGAAACAACTTTGCTGCCGAGCGAAACACCCATCTTTTCATCTCACTATAGCGAGGAAAATGGTAGATGATGAGAAAAGCAGTTAAATTATAACAAATAACTTTATTCATTCATACATCAAAAAATAGTTATCATTGATAATTTAATGTCAACGTTGTTTATAAGAATAAAATATATCAAGGGAGTTATATTATGTACGATAAATCACGTACTTGAACATGTCATTATGTTTTATTTCATCGAAAGAAGAAGTTAGGTGATTTAGTATATGGTGTACCACAGTCCACCGTCAAGTTCGAATTTCAAAAACGCTTTTGCGCGCAAGTTTCTAATGAGAAAGAAAGTCTTTCCGAGCTAGTGACGTGAACATTTATTTTTCCGATCTATCATATAAAAAAAAGTCATGGTAGCTAAATGGTTTGACCTACCACCTCTCAAACAGAGGTCGTGGGTTCGAATCTGGGCCCGCACCACAGAGTTTCTCGGAATTTTTGCGCGAAATTGCATTTGAAATTTACCATGAATTTTTCGGACAAGGAAAACATCATGATGAAACCTTCACGTCGAAGAAGGTGCACAACACTCGGAAAACGTGTGAAGTCGCCTAAACCCTCGCCTGAGAGGACACCCGTGCCCAGTAGTGGGGCGTATAAATGGGTTGATATTGATGACGATGTAGATATTTTTTCCGATGTTTACAGCTAACTAAGCACCCTTTGTTACTGGGATTAGAGCTTCTTCAGTGGACACTTCCTCTTTACTTATAGTGGATTCATAAATCCTTTCCATGTTACTCATTAGTTTCCTAAAGCGTTATCTTCCTCTCTTTTGTTTTTATTATGATATTTTAATATTAGTATAGCCCCGACTGACGTTCGTTTATGTGTAAGAATTATAATATAGACGTGTATTACCTAATTAATTAATAGGAAAGATTTTTTTTAACTTTGTTGGATCTTCAACTTCCAAACTG